TCACTGGAGAGTGACTTCACTGTCAGAGATCTTATCTGCACTCTGCACAGGCTAAATCCCTGTAATAAATTGGGACTGAGGCAAGTATTAAACTCCAGTCAACAAATTGAATTGGAAAAGATATCATAAACTGTTATATTTGTTTAACAAGCATTTTAAGATTTTTAAAAAAGTATTTATTTATTCATACAGAACTGGAGTTTGCACAGGGGCAGTGAGGGGATTCATTAAAGAGAGTGAGGAGCAGAACAGGCAGATTGACAAAGTAAACTGCTGAAGGGAGCAGCATGTGGGTCAGGAGAGGTCTGCTGCGACATATGGGTCACCCCCACAGCCAATAATCAAACTAATGCTGAAGCTGCTGTGGTTTGAACCCATTGCACCACCAGGGAGGGCCCAGCATTTTAAGTTTGCAGGGAACCCATCCAATTAAATGCACAGAAAAGGGGTTCAAAACAATAATAGATCCAAAAATTTTTGTGTGATGTAATAGTTTTTTTCTTTCTTTTACCTGTTCCACCCTGTACTTGTCTTTATCCTTCTGAATTATTTTGCTCAGTATCATCCTCTCTAACTTCATTCACATAGTTGCAATTTCCTCACTTAGTTTCTCTTAAGATAATTAGTCTAAAATTTGATGCAAAGCACACAAGCACATAATTACATTAGTTTTTGTCATTCAACAATTAAAGCTTTGCTTAATTACATTTTCTTTCAAAGCCTTTTTAAATTTTTTAAAATTTTAGTTATTTTTTAATTTAGTTTAAGTTAGTTTACATCTTTATATTTGTTTATATGTATTTTAAGTGTTATAGGTTCAAATCTCTACAGTTACATTTTTTCACATAATATTCACCACCAAAGCAACACTAATCCCAAACCATGCACCACTAAGATCACCACACGTACTTTGTGGCTGCCTCAGCTTTGCATTCAGACATCAACACTTTACTATTGCTTTGTTTTTGTTTGACATTTTATTTTGTTGCTCAATATTCAACATATAAGTGAAACCATCCTATACTTTTCGTTTTCCTTCTGATTTATTTTGCTTAGCATTATCCTCTCCATTTTCATCCATGTAGTTGCAAAGGGCAAAAGTTCCTGTTTTAAATATATTTGAAGAAAAGTTTTTTTTAGAAAATGGACAGAAAAGTAAAAGGCACTACATAGACACAAGCAGGGCAGAAGAGTTGATAATGGTTCATCTTTTTGACAGCTGAGTAGTATTCCAGGGTGTGCATTCATGTGCTTGTGTGTATGAGTGTGAGTGTGGATGTCGCATTTTCTGATCCACTCCTCTGTTCTTGGACACTCAAGATTTTTTCCATAACTTGGCTATTGTAAACAGGGATGCAGCAACACTGGAGTACATATATATCCCTTCAAAGACTTTTTTTCATTCTGTAGGTCAATACTTAGGCATTGCATTGCTGGAACATATGATAGAACTAATATTAATATTTTGAGAACTTTCATACTGTTTGCACAGGAGCTGGACAAGTCAACATTCCCAAGAACAGTGTGCATGGGTTCCACTTTTCTGCCACTCCTTGCCCACACTTGTTTCAGGGAGCAATTCTCACAGATGTGAGGTGATTTCTCATTGTGGTTTTGATTTCCATTTCCCTGAAGATAAGTGATTATACATACTTTCACATGTATCTTTTGGCTCTCTATATGTTTTCTTTGGGCAAGTGTCTATCTCCTCTGCCCAATTTTTGATTGGGTTAATTGTTTTCTTTTTGTTGAATTGCATACATTCTTTATATACTTTGGATATAAGCCTTTTGTCAGATGTATGCACTTATTAAATCGCTCTTTCTAAAACTTTAACAAAATATGGTGATTAATTTTTCTTATATTATATAAATTATTTCTACCTAAGAACCACCAAAAAGCAAGAAAATGAAAGAATTGTTAATACAGGCACATCTTCTTTTGTATAACATTATTGTTTTTACCTCCTTCAATATCTCTCTGAACATTTTATTTTCTTATTATAGATTTAATATTTTTATTATTTTTTGCTTTTTCCTCTTAAACTGCTTATTTCTCTAGATTATTACTTGTTTTCTTTCCCTTTATTTACTTATGTTACCTAAGTAATATCGGTTCACACACAGTATACGTTTTAGGAGTATAGGTTCACACCTCTTGAACTGCGCATTTTCACACCCTACCAAGACCAGTGCCCCATCAGCTCCACCAGGTTCTAGAGGTCCCCACCACACCTCTGCTGCCTCTGGCAGTCTCAGTTCTGCAGTCATATTTCTAGGGTTTATTTTATTGTTTTTGTCTGTTTTTTTGTTTACTTTTTTATATTCTAGATATGAGTAAACAACCTGTCATTTGTGTTTATTCCTTTTCATATGAAACTTTAAAATTGTGTTTATTTCTTTAATGTACTGAGGTAACATTGATTTACAACACTCTATGTTTCAGGTACATAGGAACACAGCTCTATAATTGAATATTATCAAACCACACCCAAAGATTCAACCATCTCCAGAATATCTGTTAATCTTTTATTTCCCTTTGTACTCACCCACCCCATACTCCCTCTCCAGTAAATACAGTAATCACCAAAATTTGTAATTTCTGATTTTTTTATATGAATGGGTGATTGTATTTCCTTGTGGTTTTGATTTGCATAAGTGATGGCGAGTCTCTGTGTGCCTTCTGTGGAGAGGTGTCTGTTGAGCATTTACAGTATGTAAGCAAGGGCTACTTCAGTAGATATAATTTTATTAAAAATAAAAATAATTAAGTGTTTTGTTTCTTTTTTTCAGTGTTTTTAATCATTATGAATTCTTGAGTTATATTTATCACATGCTGCATGAGAACAGTTAGCAATGTACTAACACGTAATAATAAAGTAAGAAACAATGATTTGGAAACTATAGTAACTACATAAATTGGAGCTAATAATAAGCTGACAATTCTGTTCATGTGAAAGTTTCATAAAGTGTATGTGGTACATCACATGGGACTCCATGCTGATTTTAGTGTTTGCAAGTTTGCCAGTGCTCCTGACTTCCATTCATGTGAGAAGCTACTGTTATAAAGACATGTTTTGGTTTTTTTGAACATATGTGTAAGAGTTACTGATGGGGAAGGACATCCAAATAGTAACCTTGTGTGTATGTCTTAAGACAAGCTTTGTTTTTACTAATGCTTCACCTCCTACCAAAGTGCTACCTGCCAAGTCACTGCATGCCTTTGCACGCTCCAACTCCTTTTGTTTTCCAAATACTCTACCTTGAAAAGGTAAGAATTAAAAAAATGAAAATGTGTTCATACTGTTTAGCCCACCTGATATTTTTGCTGTAATACTTCAGGCTCTGTGTCCCAAACATTCTCCCCGCTATGAGAGGTTCAGGGAAGGCAGAAAACGGCAAATTGCTAGGGAGGGTTTATCTAGACTCTTTATTCCAGTGTTTCTCAAACTTTAGAGTGCATTGGAAACACCTGGAAACTTGTCAAAAAACTACATCACAGCCCTGCTCCAGCATTTCTTAAGTTAGCAAGTCTGTGCTAGAGCCTAGAAATTTTACTTTAGAAGTTCCCAGGTGATACTGATACTACTGATAGAGAGTGCCCTGTTTGAGAACCATTACTTCACTTTCTAGATGCCCTAGTGAATAGAATTAGATTCTAGTTGCCAGGAAAGGGTTTAGTACACCATCTAAGGAGGTTCCTTGATAAAAAAAAATTGTATCATTCATGATATCTTTGTAGAAATGAATTTAAATTTAGATATAAGAAAAATACTTTTTTTGAGCTGAGCAAAAAAGAAAAAAATTACTAGTAACACTTTGTACCATCTGCACAATACTCAAATAAGTACGGTTTTCCCCAAGCTGCAGATAGTTTTCTTCCACTAAATAAAGAACAATTAAACACATCTTTCTGTAATGCAGTGGAGAAAAAAATATATCAAAATAAAAACCTTGGACATGAATAGAAATTAATTTGGCTCAATGCCCTGAAGAAAAGAAATGCAAAATTCAATCTAACAATGGACTCTAACAAAAATCAGTGCCAAATATATTTTCTATGGATAGAGAAACTTTAGTATTATGGCCACAGCCACACTGCGTTGGGGGATCATAATTAACAGGTGCCAAAGGTATAGTTTCATTGGTACATGATTTCACTTGGGAAGAAACTCGGTAAAGCCCCCAATGCTTGTTTTCTCATGTTAGATACACAGACTTCAATGAATAAATTTGTACATTAGAAGTCTGCAAATGGTAGGCATGTATCACTTGATGTATTCAATATATTTTAATACATCTTCCCTCTAAGATGTTTTCCCCAGTGAAAAGTTGTATTGGCATTGAAAATACTACTTACCTTAGGAAATAGGAAGAGATTTTTGACAGAGTAGATTTATTTTATAAGAATTTCCTTTCTTTGACATTTCACAGATTTTACAGGTTGACCCCTGGAGAGCTGCTCTGTAGTAGTACTTTTTCTTATATTCAGTTTGAGCATATTTCTTTAAAATCTGGAAACAACTCATTTAAATGGCACTGTTGCTTAACCAGATATTGTTTCAGCAAAGAACCTGGAGTTCTCCCTTATTTAAAAACAGACACCAGTTGGAAATTGCATTGTTAAACAATCAGCCTTTATGGCAGTCCACTTTCAAAACTGCAGTAGCTTCTAATGCAGCTGATTTTAAAGTGCCCTCAATTATGCAGGCAGTTTAAATCCACTCATTTACACAGTTCCTCTAAACTACCATACATTTTGGCCTGAAAGGAGACCTGAATAATTTTATTTTTTCCGAGCTGAATTAGCGTCTCTTCCACTCTGCCACCAGCGTGGGAGTGCATTGCCCTCCAGATGGGGGTGGAGCTGCTTACTCGGCAATCATAGCAAACCATCATGCTTCAGTACCCAGGGAAATGGATGTCAGTCACATTATTGCCTAGGACTGGACAAACTGAGTAGGATGCACTGTTTGACTCTTTCTCTTTGCTTCTGTTTAGCCCAGGAACAGCATCACTTGATACACAGCAACCAGGCAGAGAGTCAAGATGCCGTTGGCAGAGGGACCCAGCAGCAGCAGCAAGACTGTGGTGACCCAGGTCACAGATTATAATTACTATCATCCTTAACACAATTATTCTCAGCACTATTTATGACAACCTCCAAATAAATCATTGCTCTGTCAAATGTTTCATGGTGAAAATTAACATGGTGACATCTTGGAGGTGTAAGTTGGGAGAATCTGGATGAACTGTGTGTAGGTTCACAGCTTGAAGAGACCTTGTACTATTAGCAAAGAAGAATAAAAGAGCTCTCATATCAGGTTGCAAGGAAATCACGTTTCCAAAATAAAACCAAGCTTTTATTGTCCAGTGAGTACAATCATGGAAAAAGGTTGACATTGAAAGAATGACTTCCTTTAAAAAAAAAAAAAGATTTATTTGTGCATACAGAATGGGGGTACAGGCCAGAGGTGCAGGGCAGACTATCGAAGTACACTGCTAAGGAGAGCAGCAGGTGGGTCAGGAGAGGTTTGTTGCCCATGTGAATCACCCCCTGGGCAGGAGGGTATCCAACTCAATATGAAGTGGCTTTAGCTTCTTAGTGCTGTGCTTTAACCACCTGCACCACCAGGAAGGGCTGGAATAACTTCCTATTTTTAAGGGAGCTCAAAAGACTACCTTCCATTGGCTGACCAGAGTTCAGTAAGGGATTCTCATCAATGACTCAGGGAAACAATTGTAACTAAGAATCCCATATTGAACCTAAGTTCACATGTCACAATTGTAACTAAGAATCCCATATTGAACCTAAGTTCACATGTCACTTATTTACTCATTTTTATAATTATAAATATCATTTTCTTTAATCTTTAATTTATCTCTTACAAACAAAAGGGTGGTTATTGCTAGAAAAAATAATCTCATTTTGTTTACCATATTGCTTGTCATACAAAATAAGGCATCAAGTTGAATGTGATTTAAAGGGATCTCTTCAAGAATGTAGGTGACCATCCATTTTAAGGGATTTAAATTTGGCATCTTCATAAAATCATCCTTGAATTAATAAATGTGCACAGGTAAAGTTATGGAAATTATCATTGTTATAGAAAGTGATACAAGCTGAAATCTGATTTTCTTTATCTCTCATGAAACAACATCACAGGAGGTTACCAGGAGGGAGAAGGGCTGGGAACACATAGGGAAGGGTTGCACAGAACTATGGTAAATGATTATTGGTGCCTTAGTGGTGGGTTTAGTGTGGTAACATAGCTCTGAAAGGATGTTTACCTATAACTCCAAGTCATATAAAGTATTATAAATCAGATTGCATCGATATATTCTCAGAATATAGGTATACCTACAGACAAATATAAATGCATATATTTATACAGTGTTATATATGTAAATATGTATATGTATATGTATACAATTTAATACTTGAACATTAGATACAAAAGCAGGTGATCCATTAGCTCTGTAACCTTAAGCAAGTCATTTTGGTTTTCTGACCTGTAGATGCCTATTGATTATAACAATAATGCTGAGGTTTAAAAAGGGGGAGGGGGCAGAAACTTTTGAGGAAGATCAAACATTTTGGAAACTTATGATTTTATAAGTCCCCTCAAATGTTCACCCCTAAATAGTGTAGAATTCAGGTGGTTCATGAATAGTCTGTATTTTCAAGTATATGGTATAAGTATGGATTATTGATTTATTATGAATGATCTATTATGAATTGAATAGTTTTAAATAGATATTTTTTAAATATTTCCCATCTTCTCTTCCATGTGCAGCAGTGACACAAAAAATGACTGACCAGATGAGCCACCAGGCAGTAAAACTAACTCTTCTGCAGAAGAAGATTGACAATATTTCTTTGGCTGTGGATGATGTAAGGAACACGTACTCTTCCTTAGAAGAAAAAATCAATGAAGATAAAGGCAGAGAATTTCAATCTTTTCTAAAAGGTAAAAGTAAAATAAATTATTCATTCAGTTAAAACACAAGGCAAATGGCTCATTTATCTTTCTGCACTTCATTCTGGGGTCACTGCTTTGGAGAAAGTGGTATAAAGGTGAAGAGACAGGTTTTATATTTGACATTTTTTAATCATTTAATTTCTGAAAGAATTTGAAACATCTAAACATTTGTTGCTATGCAGTCACAAATTTGGCTGCATATTTCAACTGACCTATTGGCATGATTTATCTAGTTACTGGCTAACTTCCTACTTCTTTATAAAGTGATCTGTACTTAACATACCCAATATACTTAAAAATTATTGTGGATTTCAGTTCAAAAATAAAAACGAGGTAAAGAGATGATTATCATAGCACTTAGATTCCTAGTTGTCTCAATAACATTGATGGAGATACTGAAGATAAATATAAAGAACATAATTATCACAGAAATTACCTAGCTCAAGGGGTATAATCAATGAAATATATCCTGCAACACTTCTGGTCAGAGAAATAATAATGTCTTTGTAAATGTGAATCAGCCTTGCCTAAGTTTCATGCTCTTAAAACAGTGACGTTTCTTTCTGAAGACTCTCCAGGGTAGTGCTTTCTATGCTCAAATGAAGTTGTCAGAATTCACTTATTTGTGGTTATTGGGCAAAATCACACCTTCTTGGCAGCTATAAATTAGGACTGTGCAGATGACCCTCCTCCACCACAGGAGAGTCCTCACGGCTTCACTTTGATCCCCACTTCTGATTTCTTTCAAGGGCTTGTGATTATTTTCTGACCACCTTAAAATTTCTGGATCATTTATTTATCCTTAATCACATCTGCCAAGTCAAGTCCTTTTTACCATATGAAGTAACATATTCTAAGTTCAGAGAATTAGGGGGAGGTGGAAATCTTGAAAGGGGGTAGCTTTCTGCTGCCGCCACAGAGACTTATATATATATAGTCAATATTTGCTACAGTAATACTAAGCATCGAATACAAAGAGACCATGTGGTAGTTGCAATAAATCCCATCTAGGGAGTCCAGGAATAGTTCTAAAAGAAAAGTCACCACAAACAAAAAGTGAGGATCAGAAGTAGCTAATCTGACAAAGTAGCTTCCATATTATCTCCCAACACAGCAGCAATGATGATTTTTTTTTTTTTAGCTTGTAAATAATGGTGGTATTAAGCTACTGAAAAGACCTGTCCTAATATAGCACATCCCCTATGACCAAAACTCACTGATGGCAAACATGAGAGAAGAACATATTTTCCCTGAAGTGACAGCTTGAGAAAATAGTCAAATAGAAACAGTGTATAATTGACTATAGCCTCTGTAGTGGGGTTTGCTTAGTAAAATTTGATCATGGCCTAAGAGAATTAGGCCTGTCACCTGTTTTTTGTGAGCCTACTAACAAACATTCTGGTGCAAATACAGGAAAATACATGCATTTATAACATAACAGAAACAAAATCCCCTCTTCAATAGGAGACATTGTGTATTGAGCACAATCAATTAAGAACATCAGACATCTTGTTTTTAATGAATATTCTTACACACAATGAAAACTAGCCTCACCCCAGGTCCCTAGCAAAACACAGCCTCTTCTTGTGTTCCTTCTACATCTAGAAAGAAAGAGAAATACAAAAGGGAAAAATTGAAACAACACATTAAGAATTACCTGGCACCACGGAAAGGAAATCTAAGAATCATAGACAAAAACTGCCTTGTAGCCACAGAAACTATTAAAAATAAAATTCCTCAACTTATGAAGAGGTTTTGAAATATTACAAGTAGATTGTACATTGAAAATCACAGAAGAGACATCTTGTATAAAATATATGTTAAGACTTCAAATACAATATCATTTTTTCCAGAAAGTAGAAACACACAAGGCACATGAAACAATCAAATGGAATGCAAATGATGGCCCACTCAGATATTAACACAAAGCACTTTGATGTGTTTTTTGAAAAATCAGGTTCTTATACAGATGTTTCTTTAATAATAAGTTGTAGAAATATTCTTTGAAAAAATCTTGATCCTGAAGTTATCTTCTAAATTAATAATCTGTTTGAGTATTTTGGACACTGCTGTGAATTTGTCCTTTACCTAACATATATTTCTATCACCACTTTACAGCATTTCAGATGAATTTAGCTCCTAAATTTCATTTTAATTATTTACTTTTTTTCTAATTTCTTTAATCAAGATTTTGTATTGATATTTATCTGTTTGTATGAGAAGACATTTATTTCTTTATTGTATTTGGTGGAAAGTTTTTGAGGATAGAATAAACTTACTTGGAAGTCTTGCTTTGTTTTTGTTTTTGTTTTTCTTATAGTATTTTGAATATGTCACTACACTCTCTCCTTGATTGTAGTGTTTCTTTAGAAGTTAGCTATATTGGGGTTCCTTATTATTTCCTCCTTAGCAGCTTTATTCATTTTTCCTTGCCTTCGGCTCTTGGAAGTTTTATTATTATGTCCTCTTTTAGGTTTCCCGGTGTTTGTGTAGCTTGGTGTTATTTCAGTTTTTTTGTATTTTTGTGTTTAATTCCTTCTTTAAGTTTGGGAAATTTTCTTCCATCATTGTTTTGAATAATTTTTCAGTTCCCCTCTCTCCTTCTTCTTCTGGGATACCTGTGATTCTCATATTTCTTTTCCATGGTGTCTAATAATTTTTCAAGTAGTGTTTCATTTTTTTCCTTTTGAATTTCTCTTTCTTTTCCTATTTTGTTTCTTTCCTCATTTTCATCTTCACTCATCTATTTGGCTTATTCTAGTTCTTTGGCTTTCTGCAGAACTTTCCATCTTCTCTGTTCATCTTTTCAAATCATGTAGTTCCTTATTTTCTTATTTAAAGTTTTAATTTCAACTTCCTGTTCTTTGATTGTGTTTCTTGTAGTATTTATTTGCTTTTCTGAGTTTTCATTGTATTTTTTTTTGAAAGATTTATTTATTTATACATACAGAATTGGGGAATAGGACAGAGGTGCAGGGGCAGTGAGAGGATTTAACAGAGACAGAGTGGGGAGCAGAACAGGTAGATGGAGGAAGTACACTGCTGAGCGGAGCAGCAGGTGGGTCAGGAGAGGTCTGCCGCGCCATGTGGATCACCTCTGGGTTGGGGATCGAACTCACACTGAAGCAGCTGCGGCTAGTTTGTAGTGCTGTGCTTTAACCTGCTGCGCCACCTGGAGGGGTCTTCTTTCTTTTTTTAATGCTAATTTAGAGTTGTCCACAATTATGATTTATGATTAATACATGTTTTGGACTACTAGAGATATTAGTATAAACTTCATTGTTGACAAGACTCCTCTTTTTGTTAAGATGCTATATTAGGGCCCTCCCTGATGGCACAGGGCTTAAAAGTCTCAGTGCTGTCAAGCATTCTCCACCCACTCAACATGAGTTTGATCTGCAGCCAGGGAGCAAATCTATACGGTGCAGCAGACCTCTTACTCACTGCTCTCCTCAGCAATGTATTTTAGTAGATCTGTTCTACTCCCCGCTCTGCCTCTGGTGAATTGTTTCAGCCCCAAACCTCTGGCCTACACCCCAGTTCTTGAATGCATAAATAAATAAATAAAAACTTTAAAAAACAGTTATTTCATATTATGATAATCAAAATATATGTTGAATACCTATTTCTATATAAGGGTTACTTTGTTCTGTGGCTACAACCATTATGAGCTACTGTTAAATCTTTTGACAGTACTTCATGTTGTTCCTCATTTGGAAATCTCTACAGTCAAGTTTATTAGCTTTTATAAGTTCTAAGAAAAACTCTGAAATTAAATTATGAGAGCTTAGTAACAGTAATAAGCTAACTAACACCAGGTATTATTTCTCAAGTCTCAGCACTATCACACCACAGCGTGTGTTTGAGGTTCAGCCAGGGAGGTAACCCACATATACAGTGGGCTTCTCCTGTTTTTCCTACTGCTTTCCTAACAGTATATTTCAGGTCAGTTAATTCACCTGTTCTGATCCCCACTCTCCCTCTGATGAATCTTCTCACCAGACCCACCCCTCCCTACCCCCACCAACATATACACCTTTGGCCTAAATCCCAGTTCTTTTAGGCAAAAATAAATTTTAAAAATTTTAAAAAAAGATAGAAAGCCTCAAATGATTCATTTCTGTGTAAGACTAAGACTAGACCTATAAGTAGACATAGAAAAGTCTTTACCTAAAATCTGCAGTAGTTCATTCCTGTCTGTATTTCCAGAAAACTTTAATTTTGTGGTCTAAAACGTGTTTTACACCACAATTGAGTCCTCCCTCATATTTATCAATTAGGAAGCAAATAGCATTCCACAAACTATGATAATTTTTGAATTTCATCAGTAAGTATAATGAAGAAATATTTTTATGATTGTGTCATTAGTGTTTATACTTTTTAAAAAAATCTTTTTAGAGTGATTTAAGCATCATTAAAATCTTGTATTTTTATTATTATTATTTCTTTCTCTAGGTCTAAAATCCAAAAGCATTAATGATTTGGTAAAGGATGTAGTAGTGGAACAACTTAAACTTTTTCAAAATGACATGCAAGAGACAGTAGCACAACTCTTCAAGACTGTATCACGTCTCTCCCAGGACCTTGAGAACACCAGACAAGTAATCCAACAAGTTAATGTATCTGTGGTTTCAATAGAAGTCCAGCAAAAGTCCACCTTAATGCAAAATAATAGACCCACTTTGACTGATATAATAGATCTAAAAAATCAAATTATGAATCTAAGGCAAGAAGTGACTTTTACATGTCAGAAACCTATTAGGGAACTAGAAGAAAAGCAGACTCATCTTTCAGATGCTCTAGAACAGGAACACTCAAGAAACACTTTATATTATGAGTCCCTCAACAGGACTCTTTCAAAAATGAAGGAAGTACATGAGAAGTTTTTATCAACAGAACAAGTATCAGATCAGAGGATTGTCCCAGCTGCTGAATCAGATAGCAATAATATCACCGAGTACCTGTCTACTCTACAGGAGAATGTCAAGAAGCAGGCTTTGATGCTGCTGCAAGTATTTGATGATTTACATATCCAAGACAACAAGATTAGCAATCTCACCATTGCTTTGAAAGTGGAAAAAGAATATGTCAGGGGTGAATGTGAAGACATGTTATCCAAATGCAGAAAAGACTTTAAGTTTCAAATTAAAGACACAGAGGAGAATTTGCAAATTTTAAACCAGACTTTGGCTGAGTTTCTTTTTCCAATGGATAATAAGATGGACAAAATGAGTGAGCAACTTCATGATATAACTTATGATATGGAGATACTTCAACCCTTGCTTGAGCAAGGAGCATCATTTAGAAACATCTTGACTTCTGAACAAACAAAGGAAGCAGCAGCTACAAGGAAAAAGGTGGAAAATCTAACTAGTGTTGTAAGTAATCTAAATTTTCTTATCAAAGAACTTACAAAAAGACACAATTTACTTAAAAATGAAGTACAGAGTCGTGGTGACATATTAGACAGACGTATCAATGAATATGCCATTGAAATGGAAGATGGCCTAAATAACACAATGACAATTATAAATAATGCCATTGATTTCATTCAAGATAACTACATGCTAAAAGAGACATTAAGCACAATAAAGTATAATCCTATGGTCCATCAGAAATGTACCCAAAATATGGAAACAATTTTGACATTTATTTCTCAATTCCAGCGTTTGAATGATTCTATTCAAATTTTGGTCAATGACAATCAGAGATACAACTTTGTTTTGCAAGTTGCCAAGGCCCTTGCAGACATTTCTAAAGATGAGAAACTAAGTCAGTCCAACTTTCAGAAGATTTATCAAGCATTCAATGAAACCACTTCCCAAGTGCTACAACACCAATTAAACATGAGTTATTTGGAGGAAAAACTACTTTCAGCCACAAAAATTTCAAAAGATTTTGAAACTCGGTTGCAAGACATTGAATCCAAAATGACCAAGACAATAATACCTTATTATGTTTCACTGAAAAAAGGAAATGTGGCTATAAATGAGAGAGATCAGGCTCTTCAACTGCAAGTATTAAATTCCAGATTTAAGGCACTAGAAGCAAAATCCATCCATTTTTCAATTACCTTCTCCTTGTTTAATAAAACTCTCCATGAAGCATTAGCAATATGTCATAATGCTTCTACTAGAATAGTAGACCTTAATGCTACCATACCTAAGTGGATCAAAGGCAATCTACCTGATACTAGGCTTCTTCAGAAAGATCTGACAGAATTTGTAGAATCCATAATGGAAATAAAAACTCAAGCTGTCCTATCTAATTTAACTTCATATATAAATCAATCATTGTCTAGTAGTCCTGCAAATGTCAAGCCTCAAAGACAAGTAAAACAATTGCTGAAGAAACCTAGTTCTCCTAAAAAGCCAACAGTGAATCTTACCACCATCCAAATAGGTCGGAGCCAAAGAAACACAGACAATGTTATATTTCCTGGTAAGTCAGTGCTAAAAAATAAGTTTTAATATCTCTTTTTAGTTAAATGGATATTTAGTAATTTTTGCATGAGCATAGTATAAAATATGTTTGCTTGAACTTTGATATATAGTCAAATATTGAGAGGTCACTAATTATCTTAATCTAATTTTATTGCATGAAATTAGACATCATTGCAAAACAAATAATTATAGTATAAATATCTGCTATGTGTTTTTTAACATTTTTCTGACAATCAAATATGAAACAGTCAAATTTGCCCCTCTAGAACATTTTTTTTTTTTTGGATATTGAATATTCTGTTAGACAATTAGTTCCTTTGTGCAAAAGACAAAACTGTGTTTTATTCCTCTTAGCATTACCTAGCAAAAAATTCAGTATTCAATATGACTCAGTAAATATATTGTTCAATGGCTGTCTAATTGAATGATGCAGAAATTACATTTGGGTAGAAAACACAAGAGCGAAGTGTCTGTTTATCTAAGCTGCAACAAAACACATTAACAGACACAGACATGGACTAAGTGGCTTGTAAACAACAGTGATTTACTTTACATAGTTCTAGACGCTTGATGCCCAAGGTCAAGTAGCCACATGGTTATATTCTGGTGTGAATATAACCCCTCTTTTGGTCATGACCAGCAATTTCGCTCTGCCCTGTCATGTCGAAGGGGTGAAGGATTTCTTTAAGGACACATACAAGAACTGGGGTACAGGTCAGAGGTGCAGGGGCAGTGAAAGGATTCACCAGAGACAGAATGGGGAGCAGAACTGATAGATTGATGAAGTACACTGCTGAAGGGAGCAGGAGATCTCCCATGCCTTGTGGGTCACCTCCCTGGGCAGGGATAGAACTCATGCTGCATTGGCTGTGGGCACCTTCATAGTTCTGCACTTTAATCCATTGTGCCACAAGGGAGGACCCAGGGGCAATTTCATTTTTTTTTAAGATTTATTTATTTATGCATACAAATTTGGGATACAGGCCAGAGGTGCAGGGGCAGTGAGAAGATTCAAGAGACAGAGTGGGGAGCAGAACAGGCAGATCAACAAAGTACACTGCTGAGGGAAACAGTGGGTGGGTCAGGAGATGTATGCCATGCCATGTGGGTCACCTTCGGGGCAGGGATCCAACTCATGCTGAAGTGACTTTAGCACTTTATCAGTATCCACTCAGTGACATCTGAATGGGAACCTCAAACTTCTCATAGTGCTGTGCTTTTACCCACTGCGCCACCAGGGGGTAAATTTGTTTTTTAAAGAAAATTAATTCCATTCATTGTTACTCGAACTTCATGATCTAAGTATACCCCAAAGTCCCTTCTCCCCATAACATCAGGCTTATAGCACTAAGACAACATGATTGTGTAACAAATGGTTTTTGAAAATTTAGAGCATAAGTTTGGATGTGGTAATCAATGTGTCTCAAAAGTGACTCTAGTATATGTGTGTAGTATGACTGCAATGAATGAAGTTTGAGGTTCCCATTCAGATGTCACTGAGTGGATACTGACAAGAGCAAGTGTGAGCCAGGGCTAAGGAAGAGATGACTGAAGCAGACAGATGTGAGAAATGTTGCAAAGTAAACTTAGAAACACTAGGGTGTTGGGGAAAGGAACGACCTGAGGCATCACAGATGATGGTCTGACCCCAGCTGTTTCAGAATATGTCTGTGTAGCTGAGCGGGTTCACTTCTCTGGGTCTCAGTTTCTTCCTTTTAGATGGTAGGTTTGTGATAAATATTTTGCAGAGTTCACTAGTATAAATATGCTGCAGACTGAATACTGTAGGGAAAAGAAGAATATGACAGCCTGAATGGCATGGTTTGGGGAAGGGAGAAACTTAGAATATGCTGAGGTTTTGAATTTGGAAAATGACAAGGCTTAACAGATATGAACATGAGAAGAGCATAAACTGGGAGGAGAGAAGAACTCAGTGTGATACTATAAACTGCTTAATAGTCTCTCTATGAAAGAAATGTCTTATGAATATGTTTGGCATATGAGTAATATGAAGTAATCACTGCACCAAGGAAATAATAACTCTGATCATTACTAAGAGAAATAGTAATAGTCCTCTCATGTGAATCTACTGTTAAATTATATGCCCCTTTGGATAAATACTGTATTTTTTAATTCCAAAAGGGTGATCATTATCATGTCATTATGAGTCCCATTATTTTATCTGAATGTTTTATAATGTTGAAGATCACAGAAAAATTTAAAGATAAATTGTTTCTTGATTGTTTGTTATATTTATTTGTTACTACCTCCAAATTAATCTGACCCAGGAAGACTACTAAAGCCCAGTGAGATTAAGGAACAAACCATCTCCAGGAGAACGGTAGTTTTTCAATACTGGATGATTTTATAGGGAAAATAATGAACTTTTCAATCTACTTCAATCCTTGGTCTCCCTGTGGACATGGCAAATGAGTTTCAGTTAAGCTCCACAGGATATGGGATCACACTCCAGGCAAACCATACAACTTTTTTCTTAAACCAAAAATATCCATATCTATAGCAGTAAGCATAATTAAAATTAATTGAGTTAAAATGTTTAATAAAACAGAACTTTATAAATTTTGTGGTAAAAAGAATACATACTAAAAAATTGTAGAATTGTATTTATGTTTATAGCAGCTGACTCCATATTAGGCTTATGGGCTCATTAACTGAGTCCTAACTCTTTTTTTCAATGATGATTTATAAAATTACTTCCTGTTTCTTTATTTACCATACATGAATTTTTTATAGACTTATATACTCTAACTAATGAATTGGAATTTTTTAAATTTTATCTCAGGAAAGATCACCAAGACCAGTGTCTGGGAAATAAGGATATACTGGCCTACTTTCATGTACAGAAGATACATTCACTTTATGCAGCACCAGCATCAGAATGTGTGGGAGCCTTTAGGCAGGTGCAGGCATATGAAGCTCATTAAACCAGTGCTGTTTCTGTGCACCAGAGAACTGCTGGCCTATGCTGGATGGCTGAGCAGGAAAGTCTGTGCAGGTGACAAAAATAGTGGGCTCTGGCTAAGTTCTCCCAGAAGAATAAACCAATTAAAAATTAAAATATTTTACCCGACAATGTTGTATCCCAGGGTGGGACACACTGGCTCACAGCTGTTGCCTTTGACCTTAGCCATTATATTAGAAATACCCTATGACCACATTGCTCCTTTTTGTAACTAACACCAGAAAATGATTTATCATTCCTTTTAAAAAATGTTATTAAAAAAACATTATGTTACAACAGTATATAAATTTCAGTTGCAACATTACAAGTCAATTTCTCTATATACTGTGTTAATATTAATTCACATTATAGCCGTGATTATATATGTCAAATAAGCACAGTTAGTACAGAGATCTTATAAAGTTTTAAAAATTTAATTCTAATTTTAAAAACTAATAACTTACTTTGAAGTCTAATAGAAGTAACACTATACTAATATAATAATGGGTACTAATTAATATATAGTAGCCCCTTCACTATACAAAATATGCCATAAACATTACTGTTACTGTTATTTCATGTAACAATATGCCTGAGTTAACTGTCATTATTGTTATTTTGAAAATGAGTAAGCTAGCCCTGCACTTAAGGATCTTGTTGAAGATCATGCAGTAGTCAGCAGTAGCATCTCACACCTGGTCTGCTGCAGGAAGGTTTTAGGTTCCAATACCTGTACTCAGAAAAATGAGAGAATGCGTCATGTCTATTCCAGACTCTGGTCATATCCACCTCCCATTGGCCAGAGTAAATATTCCAGGGAGTTTTTTTCTTTTTCTTTTTTTTTACATGAGGATCCAATCATTGTCACTGTATCAGCCATGACCAGGAGGGAGTACAGGTGTTTCTTTTCAGTTTGTCTGTTACATGATGTGGCCAGTGGGCAGTTGTCATGGAAAGTGACCATTAATTATTCAAAAGGCATTCTTAGGACTGAGACAGTAGAAGTACATAGTGCAGAGTAAGCAGCCCTATCACTTCCTTTTAATTCAATTGTAATTAAGTTGTGCTAATTAGGGTTCCAGGGAAAGAAACTTTCAGGTTAAATTCTAAATATTTGGCTTGTGCCTACACTATATGCGAAGGGACACCAAGGGATTTTATTTTATCTTTGAATATTTTGTTTGAAAACACAACGTGGAATGAATATCTCAATTAGAAGATAAATTCAGGATAAAGTGGAAGCTGGGAATAGTAGTTAAACCGGAGTATACACTAGTAGGAAACAACATTGAATTGAAAATACAAACATAATGAAGAATAACAACATAATTTAAAGAAACCATCAGTGATGGGGAGGTCAGTCACTCCAATAATAAAAAGCCTAGCATTAAGGAGGAAGTGTATTTGTATTTGGAAGGGAAGTTCAGCTGTAATAGCACTTTAAAGAGTTAATATCTCTATGGAAATAGTCAATTAGTAATGTAGGTCTGAAACCAGAGACAGTTTGTTTCTAAAAGTTGGAAATTATTTGCAAGAGGTGATATTTGAGAATATGGAAGTAAGTTAGATAGCTAGAGAAATAAAAAAGAGAAATGAAGATAGAGGCATGAAGATGACCTATAATTGAAGAAAACATGAGAGAGACATATTGAAGGAAAAAAAGAGCCTTTTCAGAGCCAGGAAAGTGAATGTGTTTTGGAACTTAAAATTGTTAATGCAAAAACAAAAAGTAAGAAGACATAAGATGTAGAGGAAGGCTTGTGCAAACAAAATAATAGAATAAAATTGTTGGGGAGATGTCTAGGGAAAATATTTTGGAATGCAACAAAGATCCATCTCAGTGACTTACTGACAATTATGATTGAAGAATCAGTATGGCCATTGGAATGTTCACTTTTTAAGGTATAGTTAAACATCAGCTATGAAAAATCTATTGAATTTTTAAAAAGCAACATATTTTTTCTGTTCATTCATTATGAACATGAATTCATATTGGAAAATATTCAGCACCCATAAAATACAAAGAAGAATATAGA